TTTTTTTTAAGTTTATTTGAGGAAGATAGAGAGAGTGTGAGCAGGGGTGGGGCAGAGGGAGAGAGGGAATCCCAAGCAGACTCCATAGGGTCAGAGCAGAGCCAGATGTGGGGCTCGAATTCACAAAACTGAGATCATGACCTGAGCCAATATCAAGAGTTGGGACACTTAACCGACTGAGCTACCCAGGCACCCCTCAAAACTAACTTTAATAAAAGAACACTCTGTATAAGCTTATGATGGCAATACTTTATATCCTTTCCTGATCAAGCAATTCTCAAATCTGTCCTAGTATTGTTAGCCTACTTTTTAATGTTTAATTTTGAGACAGAGAAAGAGAGTGCATACACAGAGGAGGCATTTGACAAAGGATCCAAAGCGGGCTCCATGCTAATAGCAGAGTCCGACACGGAACTCAAACCCATGAACCTTGAGATTATGACCTGAGCAAAGGTCTGGATACTTAACTGACTGAGCCACCCAGGCGCCCCTAGCCTATTTTAAAGGCCGATACTAGCAATCTGGCTTCCTGAACGAATATCTCACATAAAGCTCAGCTTTTGAGCAATGTTAAAACTTCAGCTCTCTCTACACCTGCTTTCATTCTACACACAAAAACTAGGCATAGCCACTCAATGATATATAAAGGCACCATGAAATAAACATGTGAGTTTTTGTGATATATTCACTGATATTTTGCAAATATAAAATGTAAATGTTAGATAACTTAGAAGAAAAAAAACCCACAAATTTTTCCCTGAAACCATCAAGAAAATACCTTGAATATCTCTGAGTATCATCCAAATTAGAAACACAGGGATATAAAAACTGTCTCTGTAAAAATAAATGAATTGTAATATAAATAACTTTTGAATAATCATTAACATTTTTCCTTAGAGAAAAAAAAACTATCCCCTAAGACAAAGTTTCTAACGTTATGAAACTAGTTTGAAATGTTTTCTTAATACTGAAAAGATGAAAATGTGCTTTCTGGAATGCTTAAATCTTTGAAAAGCAGCCGCTGAACAAATGAAATAACTCAAAATATAAATGTATTTTCTTTAGTGAATAGAACTAAAGCAGCTTTTTAAGTGTCTGGAAGTGTTGATGGATTTCAGGAAGCCAAGAATTTCCTATTAACAGCTGAATTCATGACTTAGTAATGGCAGATTGTCCCAACTAACGAATTCCCCATAGGCTATTATTTAACTTAAGGTTGCCATTTTAAGATGAATTTTACAAAAGTACAAGCAGTGTTAGTAATTTTTATGTCTTTATGCTCATATTTATGTTTGATTCTCAATAAGTAATACACAAAATGTTTCTTGCCCTTTCCTCTATAAAGCACAATTTCTACAAGTCAACAAAATAAATATAACTGATGAAAAACAGGACTTTTACATGCATCCTGATGAAGAAAACAATTAAAATGGAGAGGTCTTTTTTCAGTATCTTGTGTAGGGGGAGGGCATGAACAGTCCACAAGTAACGTGCCAAGAATGTTCTAAAATATGTGATGGAGTTCAGAGCTTCCTCCTCCAGCAAAAAGATGATATGCACCAGAAACCAAAGTTAAGAGAGTCTCAAATCTACTACTACAGTGAACGAGTTTGAATGTTTCATATGCCCAAGACTTTGATAAATTTACCTGACAAGATAAATAGCTTAGCTGGTCTGGATATACACTTATTGCTATGAAGTATATGTTTAGAATATTCCAGTTTGAAAGGGGAAGCTGGGCTTATACATTATCACTAGGCCAGCAGTTCTCAAATGTTTTTCTCAGTTATTCCCAAATAAGAAATACATTTTACATTGTATGCCTACACCCATGCATATACAATCCTGACCTACTCTGGTCCCCACCAGCACTCAGAAAACCACTGTACTAGGCATCCAGAGGTCATAATGTTGAATTCTCAAAGAAAGACCCTGTCCTCACTTTTACCCCCAAATTAGAAAATGTGCTTGCCGTTTATTTTCACAGTTCTTAAAAGCAAATCCTATTCTGCACAATACTTAAAATAACAAAGTATTTAAAAGTAAAACTAAAATCTGGAAAATATTATTTATCAACTAATCACCTAATACACTCAGAGCAGTGGTGCTCAAATGGGGGGTGAGGGGGAGGCTCCCACGGGAGCAATTTTACCTCCCATTTGGCAATGTCTGGAGATATTTTTGGTTGCCACAACTGAGGGGGTGGGATCCTACTGGCATCTGGGGGTACAAGTCAAGAATGCTGCTAAAGATCCTACAATGTGCACAGGACAGCCCCCAGAATAAAGGGTTGATGTTACATGTCAGGAGTACTGGGGTTGAGAAGACTGACTTGGAGCAAAGGCTAGGACAACTCAGACAGAAGATCTGAGTGAGTTCTTGGCTGGGTTTCCTTTGGCCCAAAGGATAATGCTGTTCTGTCCACTAAGGGTACAACCTAGGGCATACTCTCCCTGCTGTGGTCAGTAGTTACACTAAAGAGTTTTACAGTCCCACTTCCCAATTTTTGTAAGTCAATGGAGGTTAAAGGAGAGAAAACGTCCTTTTTATTAGCCTACAACCCTGGAATAACTTTTTTTCTGGGTCAGGAGCTCTTAAAATTAGGGTTTAAAAAAGGGTGCGAATAGGGTCAGGAGTAAGTCTCCTAATTTTCTGCTTAGCTTTGTATGTTGGAAAGAATAATGATCTGTGACCAAGCTACACTGCCTCTTGTTATTCATTTTCACGAGGCAGAATTGACAAAGACAGCATAACTACTATGGGGAAAAAAAACTTTCACATGGTTTTCCTAGGACCAATCCATACACTATCACCCATTAACTCCAACATCACCAAATCTTTCTCCTTCTCAACTCCATCACCACCACCATCGCTGCCAGCTTCTCCTCCTCCCCCTCCTCCTCTAG